CCCAGGTCAGGTCAGTGGGGACCCTCGTGTCCCTTTGGTCACCCCAGGTCAGTGGGGACCAGGTCCTGTTCTCCCCTGGGACACCCCTGTGCTCTCCTGGGACATCCCTGCCTTCCCTCACCTGTGTTCTCCAGACCACAGGGAGCAGCAGCTCCTTTCCATCAAGATGCCTCATCCTCATCCTCACCCTCATCTTCATCCTCACCCTCATCCTCATCTTCATCCTCACCCTCATCTTCATCCTCACCCTCATCCTCATCTTCATCCTCACCCTCATCTTTATCCTCATCCTCATATTTATCCTCGCCCTCACCCTCATCTTTATCCTCCTCCTCTTCCTCTTCCTCATCCTCACCCTCATCCTCCTTCAGCCACATCCCCAGCTCACCTTCACCCCACAGCTGGGGCTGGACAGGCTCTCACCTCTCCAGGATCACCTGAGGATTCCAGAAATGAGCCAGGACAGGCTCTCAGCTCCCCAGGATCACCTGAGGATTCCAGAAATGAGCCAGGACAGGCTCTCAGCTCCCCAGGATCACCTGAGGATTTGGGAGATGGTCCAAGGGCTTTAGGCTCCCTCAGCAGCAGCTCTCCACAGGAGCTCAGTGTTTGCCATGCTTTGTGTCACACTCTAAAGGATTTTTCTCCTCCTCTCCGTGTAGAGAGGAGTTGATGCAGAGAACCCAAATCCAGCTGTGCTTTGTAATTTCATTTTTACCGGGCCCATCCGTGCCCCAGGGAGGGGCTGAGCAGCCTGGGTGTCTGCAGAGAGCAATCCCCTCCTGCCAAAGCAGAGAGACAGAGCAGGGCTGCAAGGTGACAAATGGCCCAACTTCCCCAGCTCCAGGAGCCTCTTCATTAACGGCTGCACTGCTCGTTTTCCCTTTCCTCTTTGATTTCTTCCTCTGGCTCCGTGCCTGTGTCTGGCTGCCTGCAGCTCCGTGTGCTCAGGATGTGCTGCTTGCCCGAGGCTGGGTGCTCCAGCTGCCCACCCCCCTCATCTCCTGCAGCCCAGCGTGCTGCACGGACAGAGGAAAAGAAAAGAGAAAATTAAAAAAAAAAAAAAAAGGAAAGAAAAGAAAAGAAAATAAAAGGATGAGAAAATAAAAGAGAAT